CTATTCAACAGATTCTCATATTTTCATTTTTTTTTTTTTTAGCTCAGATGAAGGGCTATCCATCGGGCTCACCAATGAGCACTCCCCACCCCCTCCAAACCCCCACTCAAAACAATGAATCTGTTCCAGCAACAACTGGTGCATTGGTGCTTTGAGCACGGGTGGGGGTCATATATGCTATGCAGTATATATAGTTTTTAACAATAACAAGCCTGAATGAAACAGAAGCAACAACTTTCTCCTACTTATCTTTTTCACAAATGTAAGAAGTAGAAGGGCAGATAATTGTGCGAAGAAAATGTGAGGAGTAAAAGTAAAAAAGTCATTCGCTCAAGTAAAGTACAGATAATCAAAATTTCTACTTCAATACAGTATCGAAAAATGTGTACTTTGTTACTTTACATCTCTGGCAGCAGTGATGTTTTTCTTTCCACCAACTACAGAATGTTGTTTTTCCAACAACAATGAAACAATACTTGTCTAGTCTTGGAAGAATGTGGCATTCAGTATCCACTTTTCATTTTTAATAGTTGTCATGATTGACAGCTGGCAGCCATTTGACTTTGATCCTACTGTGGATATGAATTACTGGTGATTGTATCAAATAAATACTATTGTTTGTCACTGGTTTTCCCCTGACACTATTTAACTTTCTTCCTCAGCTAAAACAAGGCATGCTTTGACTTGTATTCTTTAATTACAGCAACACTTTTGTTGCACAGCCATCACTGATTTACTGACATGAACAGAAATATTTTAGTTGATTTTCTAGAACCACTTGTTGTATTTTTGACTTTAAAGAGACATTTTGAAGTATTTCTTTGTTAGCAATCCATCTCGTCTGTATGACTGATCATGTCACAGTCCAGCAGAACGTGTCAGATGTATCTTCATGAAGAAGACGTAGCACACATATCTGCAGCTGAAACATCTTGACTGGTACGTCCCAGAATTTTCAACGTTAACATTAYAATATAWCATTACAGTCATTATGACCTGTAGAAAATCTTTTTTTAGCAAATTTACCTCCCATTAATCACTTTGGAAATTCTAACTTTTACTCACTTTTACTTTTACTACTTAAATGTATTTTATTAATTTCCTAATTTAAATTTTCCTTTAATACTAAAGTAAAGTAAATGTCAGATAGCTACTTTTAAGACTTTTACTCAAATAATAATAATCTTTTAGGAGACTTTAACTCTTACCAAAGTGATTTTATGGAAAAATACTTTTACTTTTAATCAAGTATCACTTGTTGTGGTACTTTATATTACACTGACTGCTGCATTAACTTTACCCTGATTGTTCAAATAACCATTTCTTTCAAAAACCAGAAAGATTTTCWTCTTGAGTCCAAAAATAAATTCAAAACTGAAAACAATCTTTATTTATAACATACTGAACATGCCTTGTTTWAGTTTTGGCAGCATTTTTATATTCTTTTATGAATGTGTCATACTATTTCCTGCTACTTTTGTTAAACAATTCAGAATATTTTGAGGTTGAATGCCTGGCCCAAAAAAAGTGTCCACCTGGATTTAACCAAGGTCTGGGGTTGCTGCAGTTGGTCAGGTCTAGATTCAGCAACAGTATGAGCTCAAAGAATGAGGTCAGCTGACCTGAATATACTGAATGACCAGGTTATTCCATAATTGGATTGTTTCTTCCTGATGACACGGACATATTCCAACATGACAATACCAGGATTCATCGGGCTCTTATTGTGAAAGAGTGGTTCAGGGAGCATGAGACATCATTTTCACACATGGATTGGCTCCACAGAGTCCACTGAGAATCTTTGGGAGGTGCTGGAGAAGGTCAGACTCTACCATCATCAATGAAAGATCTTGGTGAAAAATGAATACAACACTGGATGGAAATAAATCTGCTGACATCACAGAATCGTATCCAAACTATGCTACASTGAATGTGTGCTGTAATCAAAGATAAAGGTGGTCCAAATAAATATCAGAGTGTGACTTTTTTATGGCTACATTTTTTGGCCAGGCAATGTTAACGTAATGCTTTTACTGTAGTTTATTTAACTTTCCTGTTTTTTTTCTTTTGTATTGACTTTGCACCTTTTCTGTTCCACACCGGTTCAACAATTATCCTGCATGTAATGTTCATCAGTTATATTTAAATGTACACATATTGGCATTGTAAATTTTGAAATCAGGTCAAAGTTACATAAGACAAAAAGAAAGTTGTAGCTGTGTACATAACCAGTAACCCCCCAACCCCCCCTACAAATTATGTTACGTCAGTGTTTATGCACTGAACAGCAATAAGAAATTAAAACCAATTTCTGTTTTTTTTTTTTGCATGTAATTTTCTTTCTTCAAACTTTATGAAACTCATGAATGAAACCTAAAGAGGACAGATTTTTTTTCCACTTTAGGAGATGAACTTTGATTAAACAAATTGTACTAAAAATCTAATATTTAGCTACAATGTGTTGTGGTAGTACCTGAGAGTCTATCATTAGACAAAATATTTGTTTAAAACTTTACAAGTTGGACTCAACCCTGTTTGACCCTTAGCAAAATACTTCATGAAACATTGGACAAAATTGAGTGAAGCATGTAGAAAGTAATATGTCCTGAATAACTTTAAAGTAGCTGTAATTAAAGAAGACTGCCACCCACAGCTAATCAACATTATCTGACACAGAAATGATCCTTTTTACAGATTTGGAGCTACAGATTGAGGTGATAGTAGTTGAGTCATTTAAAACATAACTTGACTGAGGATCATATGTTTGACTAAAACAAACACAAGGTGATGTTAGTCTAAAACTCATTGACAGGAGGCAGCTGGTAATCATTCCTTCAAAGAATACCAGGTGTTTCATTATTATAGTTCTTCCACCAACTTTTCTTAAAACATGGCGATCCACAGCTGAGACTGCATCCAGTCACAGCATCTTTTCATTTTAATAATAACAGGCTCCGTCAGTGATTCCCACAGAACAAAAACAGCCAGTGGCAGGAAGGAGCAAAGCTTTCTGCTGAAAACACAAACTAACATTTGGCTGCCATCCAGCAGAATGTTGAGCACAAAGAGTAGAAAAAGTTCTCACATATTTCCAAACAAAGAGGCTCTGAGTGGGCTCTACAACATGGACGACAGGTTGTTTTCAAATATCAACTGTGAGCAAGTTTGAATATGTTTACTGCAAAATTTTTACGTTTTTAACATCCAGAAATCAGTTTGTTAAAGCAAAGCTGACAATAAAAGAGATGAGTTTGGTGAAGAATTGTTGAAAAGATAAGACTGTTGGTTGTATTCAAGTAAAACTGAACATATATGTACTTTTTACTTATTAAAAAGAGTTTCTGAACTGAGAAAACATTAGTTGGTATCCTGGATTAGGCTCATCCAGAAAGCTTCTTTGATAATTCATCTGTGTCAGACTGAAGAAGGTTCTTACCTGAACATGTGCTGTTTGCTCTTCTTCTTCTTCTTCTTCTTCTTCCTCTTTTCTCCTTCAGTGACAGAATCTGTCTCACTTCTTCAGTAAGAAACTCCTCCTCTGAGGGAGGGACGGACTGAAGAACCTCTGAGGATGCCTTTCTTGTTGTTATTGTGTGTGTGTGTGTGTGTGTGTGTGTGTGTGTGTGTGTGTGTGTGT